TTTGTTTTTGTTTTTGTTTTTCGAGACAGGGTTTCTCTGTGTAGCTTTGTGCCTTTCCTGGAACTCACTTGGTAGCCCAGGCTGGCCTCAAACTCACAGAGCTCTGCCTGCCTCTGGGATTAAAGGCGTGTGCCACCACCACCTGGCGGGAGGTCACTTTCTAAGCAACTTTCTGCAGATGCTGATGCTTCTGCTCTTACAGCCCAGCTCCTGACGCTCCTCTGTGCTGCCACCCTGCAGCCCAGAATCCAGTTTATCTCAGAAGAGGACATTCCCTTTAAGCAAAAGCGGCAAGATGAGTACCAAGATAGGGTGTTATGGTTTGAGTCTAAAATGCTCCCGCGGGATCATGTACTGGGGGCCCAGCGTCCACTGATGGGCCTTTGGGAAGCCACTAGATCCCGAAGGCCCTGACCTAGACAGTGGATGCATATCCTGGTAGATGCATGCTGTGAGCATTATGAGAGGTGCTGAAAAGCAGGAGGTTGGGCCTTATTAGAGGAAGTCGATCCATGGAGGTGTGTTGTGGGAACTTTTATCTTGTCTTGGTCTCTTCCTGTATCCCTGTTCCCTGCTTCCTGGCCACTGTGATGTGAGCTGCTGTGTCACACCCTGTTGTGACGGACTGAAACCTCTGGAACCCTGAGCTGAATCCTTCCTCCTTTTAGGCTGTTCGCATTAGGCACAGTGAAAAGATCACCACCTAATACACAGGGGCATGAAAGGCCAGCCCAGGGAGAAGTCGAGACCAGGGGACGTCTGGTGAGAGGTTTGCAGGCAGAAAGAAGGTCAGAGAAATGCAAGGTTTCTGGATTTCAAGATGGAGAGAGTGGGTCAGGAGCCAAGGAATGGGGCACTTCTAGAAGCTGGGAAGAGCAAGGAACAGGTTCTCCCTGCATCGTCCTTCATTGGGATTCTAGCCCACCAATCCATGCCATACTCGTGGTCCACAGGACTGTAAGATAAATAGCTGGTTCACTGTCGTTTTGTTTCTTCAGTGATAGGGATGAAGTCTGGGAGCTTGTGTGTGCTAGGCTAGACCCCTGTGCACTGGGCTAGACCCCTGTGCGCTGGGCTAGACCCCTGTGTGCTGGGCTAGACCCCTGTGTGCTGGGCTAGACCCCTGTGTGCTGGGCTAGACCCCTGTGTGCTGGGCTAGACCCCTGTGCGCTGGACTAGACCCCTGTGCACTGGACTAGTTCCCTGTGTGCTGGGCTAGACCCCTGTGTGCTGGGCTAGACCCCTGTGTGCTGGGCTAGACCCATGTGCACTGGGCTAGTTCCCTGTGTGCTGGGCTAGACCCCTGTGCACTGGACTAGACCCCTGTGCACTAGGCTAGTTCCCTGTGTGCTGGGCTAGACCCCTGTGCACTGGGCTAGTTCCCTGTGTGCTGGGCTAGACCCCTGGGCCTCTTTTACTTAAGCCACCAAATGCATGAAAAGTTTGTGACGGAAGTAACAGGAAACTAATAAAGGTCAGAATTTGACAAAAATCCCAAAGTGTGCCCAACTCCAGCAAACAACTCAAAACTCAACCTGTTCTCTGACTGATCCGAGGTGGGAGATTACATTAATTACAGGTTCGAGTCCTCTAATGGTATTTGTTATAGGATATTGTTAGTCAATGCTTAAAAAAATTATCTATGTGGAGCTGAGTTTAGTGAGAAGAGCCCATCTCAATCTCATTTCCAAGTTAGGCCAAACTATTTCACTTTAAAAAGGATCTTAAAAATAGGCATTTTGGGCGAAAGGTGTTAAAAATAGGCATTTTTGGCAAAGGGTATATATAGCTCAGTTGGTAGAGTGCGATAAATAGAGTTACTGGAAACCAAGGAAGATTAAAGATTAAAGAAAAATCTCTGCCGGGTGTGGTGACTAGGGAGGCAGAGGCAGGTAGATCTCTGTGAGTTTGAGGCCAGCCTGGGCTACAGAGTGAGTTCCAGAACAGCTGGGGATACATAGAGAGACCCTATCTCAAAATAAAAACAAAAGTAAAACAGAACAAACAAAATCCCTCTGTGGTGGTTTAGAAGAATATGGCCCCTAAAGAGTGGCACTATGAGGAGGTGTGGCTTTATTGGCGTAGGTGTGGCCTTGTTGGAGGAAGTGTGTCACTGTGGAGGCGGGCTTCGAGGTCTCATGTATGCTCAAGCTTCACTCAGTATGATACTCAGTTCACTTCCTGTTGCCTGCAAGATGTAGGACTCTTGGCTACTTCTCCAGCACCATGTCTACCGGCATGCCACCATGTCCCATCATGACGATAATGAACTGGACCTCTGAACTGGGAGGGGGGGAGCCACCCCAATGAAATGTTTCCCTTTATAAGAGTTGCTGTGGTCATGGTGTCTCTTCACAGCAGTGATACCCTAAGACAAACTCCGAAGGATTCAGAGCCCTCTGATAATCTGTCTGTGGGATTTTGGTCAAAATCTACACTGTCTCTGAGAACCAAGACGTCTCAAGTGGATAAGTAATGCAGTTACAAAGAGGAAAAGCTCAAGGCTTTGCAGGTCCCAGAGGCAAGCACACAGCCTCCCTCAAGGACCTCCACCTTAACTCAAACAGGCACACTCAGGAACAGCAGCAGCAAGTGCAGGATCAGAAACAGAGTCACAGGGGTTGGAGAGATGGCTCAGCGGTTAAGGGCACAGGTTGTTCTAGCTGACTGAAGTTTAGTTTCCAACCTGGTGGCTCATGACCATCTGTTACTCTAGTTCCAAGAGACCTGACGCCCTCTGTTGGCCACCATAGGCACTGCATGTGGCCAAACACCCACAAAATAAAAACACGTAAAACCTCAAAAATAAAAAAAATAAAAAAATTTAATCGAGGACCGGAGGGATGGAGTCACAGCAAGGTGTGGTGGAGCAGGATGGCAATCCCAGCACTAAAGAGGCAGCAGCAGGAGGATCACCTTGAGGCTAATCTGGTTTATATAGAAAGTTCCGAGGCATCAGGACTGCACAGTGAGACCCCAACCCAAAGAGCAAAAGAGGGAAAAAAGAGAGGGAAGAGGGAGAAGTCAAAATAAAGAGGAGGAAGAAGAAAGAAAGAGCTTGAAGAAGACACTGAAATGTAAAAGAACTGTGTTCAATGAAATAGAAATATAAAGTGGAAACATTTGAAAAGGGCCTAGATAGAGTAACTCCTAGAAACAATAAAAAAAAAAAAAAAAGGTAACATTGAAAGGAGAAGCTGAAGACGAGGCCTGCCTGAGGAGGAATTTAGCAACTGAAAGACGAGCCAAGGAGCTTTCCAGAACAGTCTAGAAAGACTGAGACAGAAATCGGAAAAAGCAAAACAGACACCTGGCTGTTTCTCCAAAAGGATGAGGCATGGTTTTAATGTGGCTTTCATAGCAATGACTGACGCATTTGTAGAACGGTTAAGAGTTCAAAGTCTTCAGGCCCGAGAAGTAAGGGACGGCAGAAAGTTAGCAGTCACCAACTGCCCCGTGTGCTGCCCCGTTTCTTAGAATTGCTGGAAGTTAGGTTGGAGTTAGGTGATTATTTCCAGGTAAGGCTCAAAGGCCAGGATGGTTCAAAGCTACAGTGCCTTGAAATTACAGTACATTTTCTTCACATTTATAATTTTTATTTATTCTGTGTGTGTGTGTGTGTGTGTATAGTGCTTGTATAGAGGTTATACAACAACTAGTAGGAATTGGTGTGCGCCTCCCACCATTTGAGTCCTGGGGATCGAACTCAGGTTGTCAGGCTTGTCTGAGGTGCCTTTACCTGCAGAGCCAACATGCAATTCAGAGAGATGTTTTCCACACTCAGAACTCAGCCAGCTCACCTCTTTGGGGTAATTGTTTTGGGTCAAAGGGCACAATCTTGCCTTCATCAGGGTCCCTTCTCAGGGTCAGCCCACCCCCACCTACCAAGGATTCAAAGCCCTGACCTACTTTTTTCATTCGGACAGTTCTGAACATGGAAGCTCATGGCAGAGCCCTTGTGTGATGGGCATGTTTTGGGCTTGTGTGATGGGGAGAGCCCCTGACGCCAGGGCTCCTCCCCCCACCCTGCCATCCTCACTTCTCAGGGGCTCTGTTTCTGAGAAGGCACCCCAGTGAACTTCCTGCACGCCAATTTCTATCTCAGAGTTTGCTTCTGGGAAACCCTCCTGGAGATGCTGTCCGCTCTTTTTCCCTCTGTGGTGACCTTGGAGCCCACCTGTCCCAGATGGTGCATCTAGGAGATGACAGATCTTCCACCTGCTTGCAGTTGCCATTTCCCAGTGACGGCTACATCATCTGAAGGGAAAGAAATCTTTGACCCCTCAAGTCGCTGAGGTATCTGGGGTCAGATACCTTATTTGAGACAGGGTCTCAGGAGCCCAGCTGACCTCAAATTCACTATGTAGCCAAGGATGCCCGCGAGGTTCTGATCCTCCTGCTTCTACCACATGGTCCTAGGACTTGAACCTGGGACGTTTTTTTGTATGCTCAACAAGTACTCTATCAATTGAACTACATTCCCAGTCAATCCTGGGTAACTCTTAACCTGTTGGCCTACCCCTTGTGCCTAGGACAGCTGTTCATAAAACAGTTGAAGTGATCTCTAAACCAGCAGACAGAGAAACATGCCTCTAAGTAGAGGGGGAAACAGAACGTGAGAAGGGAATAAAGAAACTAAGACTGTACGCTTTATCCCAAGCAACTGGAGTGGAAGGTAGAAGCAGAGAAGAGATTCACACGAGACAGTTGGAACCGACGCAAATCCCTCTGCAACACATCACTCTAAACATTAACGGAGCACACGGAGTAGTGAGAAGACGTGTGCCGCCAAGCTAAAACCCCAACCACGAGCTGTTTACACAAGGCACAGCTAAAACGCAATGACAGGAAGGGTGGGAAGGCAGAGGAAGAAAAGAGACGACTCAAAAAAAAAAAAATAGTAATAAAAACGGTGAACCTGGGTTGTAGCACCAGATGATGGGACCTGAGATGGGACCTGAGACGGCAGAGCACTCTGAAAAAAGTCACTGAAAAATCATCCTTTTCTTCACCAGGGAGCTACATGAGGTGCCAAGATTATATCTAGGGGGCACTGAATTTTTTATTTCATTTATGTAGTGTGAGTGTGTGTATGTGTGTGTGTGTGTTCGTTCATCTGTGCACAATCTCCAGGGCAGTTCTTCCCTCAGGAGCCATCCATCTTGGTTTTTTGACTCATTGGCCTGTGCAGACGAGGCTAGGCTGGCTGGCCAGTGAGCCCCAGGGATCCATCTCTGTCCCCGTCTCCCCATGCTGGGTTTACAAGCTTTCACCAGTGTTTTTACTTGGGTTCCGGGATTTGAACTCACGTCCTCAGGCTCGCACAACAAGCAGCACCTTACCACTCCTTATCCCCCAGGCCTGAAACTCCTCTTGTCTCTCTCCTGATCCATTCCTTCCTTGAGACGGAAGTGACACATTTCTCCCCTGAACTGCTTTACAAAGCACTCAGTGGTGTTTTGAGAGTCCCCCGAGCTTCAGAGGAGCCCACTAAGGATAGAGTTTGCCTGCAAGTCTCCTCTGAGTCCTGTAGAGAAACATCTTGCACGCAGGAAGAAGTCAATAAAAATGTCATGAATGAATAAATCCAAGACTTAACTAGTCATAGCCACTGACGTGTGAGCAGCCAGGGGAGTGGGCTGCCCTGTGAGCCCAGGGCCCTGCTGAAGGGCCTCCTTTAGAACTTCCAGCTTTCCTCATCTCGTCCCACAGCTGCTCTGTACTGCGTGTGATTCTGCCCAGTGCCGTCTCCCTAGCATCACCTAGCTCTAGACCTCCAGATTAGAGTCTGTCAGGTATCTCCGCTCAGTGTCCTGCTGGTGACGTTGAGCTTGGTTAGATATTGCAAGACATCAGTGTGTGGCACTCAGCTGAGCAGAAGGGGGCTCTCATCTCCATATGGAATGTCCCACCACAAAATAGCACTGACTCTAATTCAGTCCTGCAGGAACGAAACCTGACCCAGAGACAGGGGTATAGTCTTGTGCTTTCTCTATAAAGTTTGGCACAGCATGCAACCAAAATCTCAGGGCGTATGGAAGCAGGGTGTCTATGAGTACCACGGCTGTCGGGATGGCTCCCCAATCCCAGGAATCCACAGAAAGGAGACAAGAAAAACTATTGAGCAAGCCCTTCCCTCTTTCGGGATATTTGATCACACTGTGTGAAGACATATCGCTGTTTTACCTCACCTGCCTAAGACACTTTCTGATTGGTTTAATAAAGAGCCGAATGGCCCAAAGCTAGGCAGGAGAGGATAGGCAGGTCTTCAGAGACAAGAACTCTGAGGACAATCTGGATTCATCAGCCAGACACATAAGTCAGACTGCTCTACAGAGGAGAGGTAACAAGCCACGTGACAAAATGCAGATTAATATAAACGGGTTAATTTAAATTTTAAGAGCTAGTTAGAAAGCCTACTTGAAGGCCAAGCTTTCATAATTAGTAAGAAGTCTCCGTGTCATTACTTGGGAGCTAGCAGTCCAAAGAAAGACCTGTTACACTTCCCCATTGGCCAACCCCATGCCTGGCTTGGCCTTCCTGCAAGTGTGGAGGCTGGAGCTGGGAATGATGGTGTAGCCTATCATCCCTGCCCACGGGAGGACAAAGCAGGAGGATTGTGAGTTGGAGGCTAGATTGTCTCAAATGAAACAGAGGTGTGGGAAGCAAGGGAGAGAGAGAACACTGTGCAGAGCAATACTGAGGTAACTGCTCCATGGCCTGCTTTGAAGCACCACAGTAGGCCCTAACCAGCCTTCTCCCCAGCAGCCTCTACTACTTTCCCTGGCTAGCCCAAAGCTGAGGTCTAAGGACTGTGCTTCTGGATGCCACACAGATGTTGCATTGAAGGACTCCCCTTTCCCAGCCTGGTGCATGGGTGTGGCGAGGGGTCCTGATTTCTGCAGGAGGGTCAGAGGACAGCCTTAAAAAGAAGAGGCCTGTGAAAAGCACCCTGAGCTCTCCGATGGCAGAGGCCGATCCGCTGCAGACCCTGCAGCCCAGCACATACCTGTGGCACCTGGTCTATGTGGAACAGCCTGGGGAGCTTCCGGCTCAGCATCTTGACACCTGGCTGGGCGAGGCAGTCGGGGTCACTCCAGCCTCCCAGTAGGTCCTACTCAGACTTGCAGCATACCAGGAATATCTGGGTGGCTTCCCTGAAAGAGGATAGCAGGAAGAAATCAGAGCAGACTCCACCTAACTCCAACTGGATCGGGTCTCTGGTGGCTTAACTATTGGACATTTGCTTTAGAATGAGAGCCAAAAAAGTCCAGATCCCCATGGCTGGGCAATGTAGCTCCATTGGTAGAGAGCTTGCCTGGCACACATGAGGTCCTGGGTTCCATCTCCAGCACTGCGTCAATCCTAGCCCTGAGGAGGTGGAGGCAGGGGGATCAGGAGGTCAAGGTCATCCTCATCTCTTGGCCAACCAGGGCTACTTGAGACCCTGTCCCAAAACAAAAGCAAATATTTCTTTAAAGCAGCGATTCAGACTGCTTTCGTCCCTCACTCTGAGAATGCTAACAGGTAAGCGATTAGATCCTCCAGTGGCTGATTACCGCAATATGAAAGTTTTGACCTTCAAAATCTGTATGCTAGAATTTCATCCCCTGTGTGGTATGAAGTAAGGCCTTTGGGAGGTAATGGGGTCATGAGGGCTTCATTCTTTTGAATGGGATTAGTACTCTTATCATAAAACAGGCCCGAGGGAGCTTTCTTGACGCTGGGCCCTGGGAGGACACCAGGAGAAGGAGGCATCCGTGAAGAAGAAAGAGTCTTGGTATGCTGCCATTCTGATCTTGGACTTCTTGGCCTCCAGAACTGGAAGCAATAAATTTTCATTGTTTATAAACCACCCAATCTAAGGTATTTTGCTATAGCAGAATGAGCTGAGATTGTGGTAGGAAACCATAGGGCTATAAAGGACCTGAGGCCACCCACTCTGAAAGGCAAGCAGCAGACTGCATTCCCCAGAGCTGCTGAACTAGGAAGAGCTGAGGCTATCCACTCTGTACTCCACCATAGGCTTTCCTAGGTAGGCAGAGCAAGCCTGTGCTACCCCAGGGGACATGAGGAGACAGTGGGGGGTGGGCATTAGATGGGTCAAAGGGTAAAGCTGTTTGCCTCTATGCCTGAAGACCCAAGTTCTATCCCCAGGACTCCCCAGAGAGAAAACAAAATGGATCTCCTATAGGTTGTCCCCTACTCTTGTCCTGTGGCACCCATGAGTTTACACACACACACTTGCAAAAGCAAACACTGACACAATAAATAAACTACACACATTTTAATAAAACATTTAAAAGAGGACAAAGAACTATGCTCTCTAGCTCAAAGAAGAATTGGCTCTTCCAGAGCGCTGACCACAGCCCTGTCACATGAAAGAACCAGGCCAGGCAAAAATCCAAGGAGCTTCTTGGAGACAGAGCAACTTGGAGTAAATAATAAAGTTGATCAAACACAGGATTAAGACTGTTTAGTAACTGTAAATAATATGAACTGCAGACATCTAAAGTTCCCAGACAGGCCCACAAAGCAAAAAATGCTGCTTTAGCACAGAGAGGACAAAGCTAGGGCCTGACTACAGCATAGTTCTTCTCTCTGCCATCATCCATGGACCAAAGCCTGCTGCCTCCTTGGAGCCCCCTTCTTGTCCCCATCAACATAGGGGAGTCCTTCCCTGCCTCTGAGGGCCCAGGGACCTTTCCTAACCTCCCTGGATCACCAGTCACATTCCTCCTGGGACCTCTGTGGCTGGCCGGACACTCTGATATCATACACACACACACACACACACACACACACACACACACACACACACACACACACACACAGAAAGGCAATTGGGGAAGAGGTGCAGCAACCTCTGGCCTCCACATGCACACACATGAACACATACACCACACACAAATAACATAATTGACTTTAATGAAAGAGAATTACATCTTAACACAAAGCACCAAGACTGAATTTCTCCCGAGCACTGGGAGTGATGGGAAACAGAATGTTTGTGATGTGCGTAGCCTGGGCAGCAAGCAGGGGGGCCACTCCTGCCAACTCAGCAAGCTGAGGCAAACTCCCAGATAAGACAGAACTTGACTGACCTGTTCCAAAAGTGCGAGGCTTCTGCTGTTGTATTCTTACAGCACTCAAAGTAACAATGCCTTTCCTATGACTAGTTGTCAGCCAACATCTAAAATGCCTATCTTTATTTGTCAACAATTGCAGAAGACCAGGGACTGATGGCGGGGGATTGTGGCACACTGCCGATCTTAAGCCTTTCAGACATCACTGAGCCTAGAATGAACTCCTTGATCCTTTCAGTTCCATCGCTGGGAAACAAGCTCTTCGCTCCACAGACACTAGAAAAAACAGGATGGCCAACATTGCCGCTTGGGCTGCTGTGACTTTGTCTAGAGGTCTAGAGACAAGCTTGAGCCAAACCAAAGGGCTTCTGTTCTACTTTTAATTCTGTTGCTGTGGTAAAGCACTCTGGGGGGGACAAGGGGGGGAATAGAGGGTGTACTGACTCACAATTTCAGGTTATAATCCGCTTCAGGGAAGTCATGAGGGGGGGGGGGACGACAACCTAGGGGAAAAAGGGTTTATTTTAGCTAAAATTTCCAGGCTATAGTCTGTCACTGCAAGGAAGTCACAGAGGCAGGAGTTTGAGAGATTTTAGGTCTGGTCACATGACCTCCGCAGTCACCAACAGAAATGAGCTCACTTGAGTGTGGTCAGCTCACTTTCTTCATTCATATGCAATTCAGGAACCCTTGCCTAGGGAATGATGTCACCCACCGTGGCTTCATTTTCTCACATCAATTAATTTAAGATAATCTTGCACAAACATTCTCAAAGGCCAACCCCATGTTGACAATCCCTCCTTTAGGACTCTCAAGCTGTGTCAAGTTGATAATTAAGCTAACCACCACAGTTTCTAAGATGAAATCCAAACACAGCATAAACAGCTTATTAATGCTTCATCTAAGACTTCACCTTACTGAAGTTTCTATGGCTTTTAATAACAAAAGGGCTGGCGATGTTTCTCCGTTGGCAGAGTCCTTGCTGAGCATGCCTGAAGCTCTGGGTTTGGTCCTAGGTATAACATAAAACCAAGAATAGTGGTGCACACTGGTAACACCAGCACTCGGCAGGTAGAGACAGGAAGAGAAGTTCAAAGTCAGCCCTGAGGCAGACGCAGGCAGATCTCTCTGAGTTTGAGGCCAGCCTGGTCCACAAAGTGAGCTCCAGGGCAGCCAGGACTACTCAGAGAAACTGTCTTGAAAAACAACACAAACAAACAAACAAAAAAGTTCAAGCTTGGCTACACAGAGCGTTCCAGGACAGCCTGGGATGTAAGAGACACTGCCCCCCAAAAAATGTGGTATTGTAACATATCCACAAGGACTTGCTAGAATTTTCATTCTGAAATAGCCTTAAAAAATCATGAGAACCAGGAGTCCTAAAAATCATAATCAGAAAGTTTCATGTCCGGACTCAAATTTAAGGGCATCCAAAAATTAGTAAGAGGTAAAACCTGAACTTGGGTACTTCATTCATCTCTTAATGGGGGCTCCATTCTTACAGGCCCCTCCCCTAGAAGACGACGACCTCAGCTGGGATACCCCAAGCCTTAAAGACTTCAACTGAAGACTTCACTACCCACTGTGTGGGAGTTTTCATCAGCTCGACACAGCTAGAGCTTCTCCGGAAGTTGGAACCGCGATTGAGAAAATGCTTCCACCAGCCTGGCCTATGGGAAACCTGTGGTACATTGTTTTTTTGTTTTTTTTTTTCAATTTTAACTGATGATCAATGTGAGCAGTGCCTACCCTGGGCTGGTGGTCCTGGGAGCCGTAAGACAGCAGGCTGAGCAAATCATGGTGAGCAAATCATGGAGAGCAAGCCAGTAAGCAGCGCCCCTCCATGGCCTCTGCATGGGCTCCTGCTTCCAGGTTCCGCCTCCCATTTGACTTCTTGCTCCTGTCCTGATTTTCCTGGATGATGGACTGTAAGCCACTGCAGGATAAAATTAACCCTTTCCTCCCCTGAAAGCTTTTGGTAATGGTGCTTTATCACAACAAAACAAAACAAAACAAAAACCAACAACACTAAAATACTTAATAAATATTGTCATATTAGGTGGCCCAAAACAACCTGGTGAGTTGTTTTCCTAATGATAGGGTCCAAAATCGTAAAGACTTCTAGTAGTATAAGTGAATCAACAATTAGTTACATTATTAGTGGGACTTTATTAACTTAGTCTCGCATGCATATAGAACCCCAACTGCATTTAATACAGTGATTAAAACAGTTAACACATTTATTCCCACAGAAATAAATGTTTTGAAGTCTTCGTCTGTGTCATCTAGACAACACCTTCTTTATAAATACTGTCACTTTTTTGAATTGCCTCAAACAATTTGACTAAAGAATACTGTAGGATCCTTTGTCCATTATATAGAGCCTCAGAAAACAGCGTCCCCAAACACGGTTCCTCATCAAGTTGAGAACCTGAAGATTAGAAGGCCTCAGAAACAAGGGCTCCCTGATCGTCTCCTGCCCTGTCCTCTGTCATCTCTCTCCTAAAGCAAGCTGTGACACTCAAAGAATTCGTGGTCTCATGCTCCTTTGCAGATTCTGACTCCAGGAGTCCCTGGCCCACATCGAAAAGGTGCTGCACAGAGAGACAAAAAAAGATTCTGAGCAGACAGGCCTGGCCGGGGTTCCTACTGATGGTCCCATGCATTAGGCCACACTCTGTGTCCCACCATACATTTCAAATGGCTGCCTACTCTTCATAGAATCTGAGCATGAACATAGTTCTCACTGGGTCTTTGGGTCTATATTTCTCAAGTATCTCGTGCTATAGAAAATTGTGTGTGTGTGTGTGTGTGTGTGTGTGTGTGTGTGTGTGTGTGTGTGTGTTCACATGTGTGCATGTGAAGGCCAGAGACGACCTTATAAATCGTCCCTCAGGTACCATCCACCCTTTTGTCAAACAGCATCTCTCTCCTGCCTATCTGCTACCCCCACCTTCTCGGGGATGGATTTGCAAACATGTAACATCACACCTGGCTTTCTTAGTGTAGGTTCTGAGGACAGAAGCACTTCACTGCCCGCCATTTCCTCGGCCCCCAGCACCTTTTTGAAACAAAGGCCTTGAATTTGCTGACTAAACTGAACGTGACTTTGTACATTGGGTCCTGCGTCCACCTCTCAGGTGCTGGGATTGCAGGTGGACTTAAAAATAATTCTGCCAACATCTTTGCTGTGTAAATCTCTCCCCGCCCAAGTCTCCTGTCTGTTTAAACTGTTCAGGGTGCATCACCACTCTCGGGTTTATGTGCTGCTAGAGGGCTAAGCCAGGGCCTGTGTGTGCTGGGGAAACATCTCCTGAGCCACATCCTCAGCTCCACCAAACGTTGATCAAACAGACTCATTGTGCTTTTCCTCTTACTAACCTAACGTGACGAGGTGTTGGCTGTGACCCCTATGATGAGTGAGGAAAGGGATCTCACCTTCCCACTCCCCACAGTTCCAAAGCTGCACTTGGTTGAAGATGTGCTCAGCACTGACTGCCAGAAACTGCATCGCCACTCACAGCCACTCACGTGCTGTGTTATACTGTTTACGACCTGCTTTTAAATACTTCACTTGCTGCTGTTGCAAAGGACCTGGGTTTAGATCCCAGGACCCACATGAGGTAACTTACAACCAACCACCTGTAACTGTAGCTCCAGGGGATCTGATACCCTCTTCTGGCTACACACACGCACACACAAGATAGATAGATAGATAGATAGATAGATAGATAGATAGATAGATAGATAGATAGATAAACAAATAATAGTATTAGTAATAATAATCTTGAAATACTTACTTAACATAGTCTGCAGTGAAGGTAATGTTTTAACCATGAGTGGCTCTTCCTATGGAGCCCACGTGAGTCCACAAGAGAGGAAAAGGTAGCTGGAACTCAAATCAGATGTTTAAAGAATGCCACTGTCAAGCCAGGCAGTGGTGGCGCACACCTTTAATCCCAGCACTTAGGAGGCAGAGCCAGGTGGATCTCTGGGAGTTCGAGGCTAGTCTGATCTACAGAGTGAGATCCAGGACAGGTACCAAAACTACACAGAGAAACCCTGTCTTGAAAAACCAAAAAAAAAAAAAAAAAAAAAAAAGAATGCCACTGTCACAGAATTACATGCCTTCCCAGTAGGGAATCAGTCCACAGTCTTAGAGAATAATTAAGAAAAACATTTTTGGGCTGGAGAGATGGCTCAGAGGTTAAGAGCACCAACTGTTCTTCCAGAGGTCCTGAGTTCAATTCCCAGCACCCACATAGTGGCTCACAACCATCTGTAATGAGATCTGGCGCCTTCTTCTGTGTACATAATAAATAAATAAATATTTTTTAAAAAAGATTCTTTAATAAAAGTCCATGACCGGTTCTGGCTAACGCACAAAGGGGTACTGGCCTCATACAGACCATTTTACCAGCTAATATAGGCCTTAGACTTATACTTTCCACATACAATGGCACCCTCAAATGTCCTTCAGGTCCCTGCCCCATGTAACACTTTGAACAATTAAACAAAGACAGGAGACTGCCAGTCTGGCCGCTTGGGCAGATGAGAGATTTCCAAAGCCAAGTACCGGCAGAATTATTTTTAAGTACAACAGCGTTGTTCTTTTGAACAGTTGTGGTACAGAATCTTCTTGCTGCAGTTTCTAACCAGTCAAACTCGCTTTCCAGGCGTGCTGGAAGTATGCTCCTTTACCTGAGTCCTACTTTGTGGAACTTAGTATTTCCTAAGCAAGCAGATCAGTAAATCCTTTATAGCACTAATCTAACTAATTTTACTACTTCAGGCTCCCCCTGCATCACTTCCAGACGGCTGCCGCCCTGGCCTCAGGTGACCTCTCAGGCAAGGTGTGCTTGAGAGTCCCCCGGAGGACAGGTAGCTTGTCCTGAAGTCCTTACGATGCCCTCATGCTGGTTAGCTTGAACAAATACGGGTGGCAGAAACCCAGCACCAGCTTCTCACTGTGCTGGGCTAACCATGGGCGCAGAGGCAGGACTTACAGTCCTAAATACCCACGGAGCCCAGGATGGCATTTCAATGACCTTCAGACACTGTGAGCTGGAAGGCACGTCACCATTTTCATTTTCTCGTGCCGAAAAGAGAGAAAATGGTGCCAATTATAATCAGGAGATGCTGTTGACTGGAAATGAATTCCAATTTTAGAGCTGCTAAAATGTTAGGCTGGGGGGAGTGTGCTTGTCACACAAGCCTTGAGCGCCTACATTCCATCTCCAGTACACATGTAAATGTGTGTCTATAATTCCAACACTGGGGAGGTGGGAACAGGGAGGTGGGAACAGGGAGGTGGGAACGGGGAGGTGGGAACGGGGAGGTGGGAACTGGAGGCTGCCTGGGGCTCTCCGGTCAGCCAGCCTTGCAAATAGCTGTGTTCATGGTGTCAACTTGACAGGATCTAGAGTCACTGAGGAGACAGGCCTCTGGGCATGCCCGTGAGGGATTATCTTGATTAGGTTAAGAGAATTGGGAAGACCCACCCACAAGGGCTTTGGTCCTGGGCTGTATAAAAATCAGGCTGAGGGCCAGCATGCACCTTTCTTTAGCAAGCCCTGGCCACCAGGACGTCCCCCTCGGTGAAAGGCTGTTCCCCCAAGCTGTGAGCCCAAGTAAAGCTTTCCTCTTTTAAGTTGCTTTTGTCAGGGTGTTCTATCACAGCAACAGGAAATGAAACTGAGACAAGGCATCCATAAATGTTAGGGGGTAGAATGTACGGCACCCATGATGAAGGCCGTCCTGTGATGAGTGACCGCGGTGGCTTTAGGTCTACTCAGATCTGTTTACAATGGTCACTCTCTGAACCTATTATTCAGGTCTTCAGAAGGCCATCAGGAGTATCTGAATTTTATTCCAGCTGGAAGACCATCTCCTCTCATCCCTCCCCGTACCTCCCTCACCATCCCCCCAACACATTCTCTCCTGTGCCACATGCCTCCTTAAGGGATCCCAAGCCCCGATAACTGGTAAAGCATCACACTATCAGGATGTCACCCTCAAACAGTTTACTGATCAGGATGAAGGAACGCAACAACTCTTAAGAAACTCAAGACTCAGCTGTAACACATTTCTTAGTTTCTAGAAAATATTATGTCCGAAAATAAAATTATGGGGCTGGAGAGACAGCTCAGTGGTTAAGAGCATAGGCTTTTCCAGAGGTCTAGCATCCACATGGTGGCCCACAACCATGGACATGAAATCTGATGTCCTCTTCTGGCATGCAGGCAAACAGGCAGATAGAGCACTCAAACACATAAAATACACAAATAAATCTTTTGCGCATGCCTTTTATCCCAGTACTCAGGGGGTAGAAGCAGTTGGACTCTTAGAGGCCAGCCTGGTCCTCAGAGTGAGTTCTAGGACATCCAGAGCTACGCAGAAAAACCCTCTTGAAATTTTTTTTAAAAAAAGGAAAAAAAAATTCTTTGTTCATAATTTTTATTCAGGATAAATAATAAAAATAAATAAAATAGCCGGGCGTTGGTGGCGCACGCCTTTAATCCCAGCACTTGGGAGGCAGAGCCAGGCGGATCTCTGTGAGTTCGAGGCCAGCCTGGGCTACCAAGTGAGTTCCAGGAAAGGCGCAAAGCTACACAGAGAAACCCTGTCTCGAAAAACCAAAAATAAATAAATAAATAAATAAATAAATAAATAAATAAATAAATAAA